CAGCGCGCCCATCAGCGGGCCGATCCAGTAGATGTAGTGGTATCCCGGGAAACTGGCGGCGGCGACGTCGGGGCCGAAGGATCGGGCGGGGTTCAGGGAGCCGCCGGTGAAATAGACTCCTAACTCACATCATCCCACCATTCTCATTAACTCACTTATCCTTCAGTCCTCTCATGGGGAAAGGGGGGGACAAAAGGGAAGAAGAAAAGGGCAATGTGGCTTACCGGCCAACTCCGCCACAAACAGCGCTAACCCAATGCCCACGGGCGCCAGAAACGTGGCATTGTGCTTCTCGGCCGCCAGCATCAGGATCGTGACCACCAGCAGCGTAGTCAGAAACATCTCGATGAAGAGGCCCCGCGTGATGGAGGTGTCGGCGCTCAGCCGCGTCTGCACGGCGGTGATGGGCCCCGGGAACATGCAGGACACCAGGGCGGCGGCGACGATGCCGCCGAGGATCTGCGCCGGGAGGAGGAAGGCGCAGCGGAGCCAGGGCATCGTGCCAGACACCAAGAGGCCGAGGGTTACCTGCGCTCCAGCCCGGAGATTAGCAGAACTTTGAGTTCGGTCGGTTTGTGTCTACGACTGGGTATTTGGGGAGAGGGGCGTACAGCCGGGTTGAACAGCCCGCCGGAGATCCGGTAGAAGGCCCAGGCCACCACCAGCAGGGACATGCCGAAGCTCAGCGAGATGTAGAGCAGGCGCTGCGGGGTGATGGCGTCGCTGTCGCTGGTCATCGCGGCCACTTGCGTCCCTGCGAAGGCGAACCAGAGGAATAACACGGTCCCTACGAATTCGCTTGATGCGGCGAGGAGGTGGTTTTTGAGGGCCTTCCTTCTTTTGTGGATGGCTCGTTTGTTGTTGTTGGTGGGTGGTGGTTGTTGTTCCACGTCTGTGTTTTGGTTTGAGTTCTGCATGGTTTGTAGGGAGGGGTGAGGAGAGCTTTCGGGGTCTGATTTGGGGAGGCCTGGGGGTTGGATAAGGCAGGAGAGGGTGTAAGCTGGTGGCTTTTGTGATTGTCAATGTTTTCTTACTATATCTTCACATTAGGATCTGTTCATTAGGACGGTGAGTTTTGGCAAGGAGTTGATATAGTGGATGTCAGTTCTGGATCGATGGGGATGCCATATCAAGCGTCACGATGACAGCATGCGAGGATTGAGGAAGAAATAAGCGAGTAAGGATCTCACTCCCACGGATTGGGTTTGTGTGCATGCTAGCAATATGCAACCAGATAATTGCAAACAGGAATTAGGGTCCGATCGCATCTCCATCAACCCAATCATCGAATTCAGGCGAGTAAGAGTCCTTTGGCGACAGTGCAAATGGAATCTATCGGGTGCTCGAATCAAGGTTGGAAAAGATGAAGTATAATGGGTAGGATTTTGATATCTACTCATCCGATACTCCCAAAATGACGCAACTCTACCAAGGCCTGATGTCGGGGGTATTGGTAACTAGCACAATTGGATCACCTTGGCGGCTCAGTTACCAGCCATCAGGCGTTCTGGAATCGAGGTTCCAGTCCCTTGGATTCCCTCCTGAATAAAGTTTGCGGGGGTTGTGGTGTGACAGGTGTCTACCACGTGAGGATATCCGATCCGCTTCGAGGACATCATCTGGTAATGGGTGACGTGAGCATTACAGCTTCGAGCTCAGCGTATCTTCCTATTTTGAGAGTGTGCCAACATAAGGGTCTGAGGGTGTCCCATTCTTGGTCCTTTGGTCTTGGTGGCTAATATGGCCTTGATCATTGGCTGGTGGAACTTGCCGTAGCTAAAGTATACGGTGAGGATCTATAGTTTAGTCCTGCATGTCATACAGGAACCGTGTTATCTTGCAACCCCAAACCCCCTGGACAGCACACCTTACCTTGACCCTTCCAAGTTCTGCCATCTATCCCCAATGGACAGTCCATCTCTGATACGGATCTACGAACTGCCTCTGAGCCCCGTCGCTAACGTCACACCTTCTTTGATTGATATTAGCTGGTTGTTCCGAGACAACTAAATATCATCCTTGAAAAGCAACTGCATCCAGAATTTGTCGGCTAAACATGCCGCCCTCGCGGCGGATGTTGTCGCAAGCCGAAGGGCACTTCAACCCCAGAAATTTCAAATATTGATAGCATGTCTCGCAAGATCGAAATTCGAAAGCCCAATAGTCACAATCGCTTTCAAGCTGGACGTTTAGCGATGTAGCCAAGGGCATGCTAAATTCCAGTCAGGGATCCGGGATTATGGGTCTATCGATTTGTAGAAACCTGCCTCCAGGTAGTCCAGAAGGAATCGGCATAGTTATCTGCCAGTGAGTCCCTTCATGCTCTATTGGTCTGCATATGCTGGACCGATGGAAGTGGTTAGCGGAGGATTACCAATAATGGCATCTATAGTTGCGGATGATAGATGGGTATGAACAAGTAGATTTGCAACTGGAACAAGTCGAAGCAACTGGTGAATACCAGTAAGAGGAGTCATCCCATAATTTACCTGGGACGCTTTGAGATTACTTTGTAGAACACTAAGTACCATTCATGCAACTTAAGTTGTAGACATACATGTGCTAATCATTGAGTCCGAGTAGAAGTAGCCGTACACTGTCCTTAGTGTACTATAGAAGCAGTGGCACTGCATCAGGCGAGCGGGCGGGACTGGCAGCAAAACACCTCAGTACTGCCTACCATCTTCCCCCTCACTCAAAACGTTTCATCTCATCCAACTCCTGATCAGACCACCTCACATCCCTCTTCCACCTTGGAGGTCACAGACAACCACACCCCATGCAGTAAAATAGCCGATAGCCGAATTCGCAATCGATGCGGGGTTCCTGTCACCCGCAGCCATTGGCTACAACCCGGCCAAGGCGACGCAATCCCCGCCGATCATGCTGCTTATCAGCCGACTCCCGATAGACGACGCAGTCAGTGCATGTATACATGGCGCATGGCAACAGTGCGGGGATGCAGACGAGCGGCTTTAAATTGAGCTCGCCCGTCACCTCCGCAGGTTACTGCTCAAACCTCCTTGGGCATTGTCCAGCACCTCTCAACCTCAAGTGAAGTGTTTACGGTCCCAACCAGCCCCAAGATGGCCCCCAAACGCCCCAACTTCCTCGTCGTCGTAGCCGATGACCTGGGCTACTCAGACATCGGCTGCTACGGCGGCGAGATCCGCACCCCGAACTTGAATCGCTTAGCGGAGGAAGGTGTGCGGTTCACCGATTTCCATGCCGCAGCAGCGTGCTCGTCTGTCATCCCCTTCCTTTCCCTTTCTCGTATTGTCATGCTGTTGTTTTGCTTTCTTGGCATAACGCTGATCCCCGATACAATAATACCAGCCCCACCCGCGCCATGATCATGACGGGAACGGATCACCACATAGCGGGCCTCGGCAACCTAATCGAGTGGACCAACATCACCGGCCAGAACGGGCCCAAGGGGTCGCAGATGTCCACCGCCCCGCAACGCGGGATGCCGGGCTACGAAGGCTATCTCAACGAGCGCGTGGTCGCGCTGCCCGAGCTCCTCCGCGACGCCGGCTACCACACCCTCATGGCCGGCAAGTGGCATCTGGGGCTGACCCCGGACCGCGCCCCCTGTAAGCGCGGCTTCGAGCGGTCGCTGGCGCACCTCCCTGCTTGCTCGAATCATTACGCGTTCGAGCCGCAGCTGGCCGGGGCGGATGAGACGCCAACGTTTCTGGAGGCGAGCTTCATCGCGTTGCATATGGAGGATGACCAGTATGTCAAAAAGTTGCCGGAGGGGTGGTACTCGTCCGATGGGTACGGCGACCGGATGTGTCAATACCTGCGGGAATGGCATGAGCGGGAGGATGATGGTGAGGGGGAAGGGGAGGAGCAGCGGAGACCGTTCTTCGCCTATTTGCCTTTCACGGCGCCGCATTGGCCGCTTCAGGCGCCAAGGGAGTATATCGAGCATTATCAGGGGGTGTACGATGAGGGGCCGGATGTGCTGCGGCAGAAGAGATTGGAAAGGCTGAAGGCGTTGGGCATGATTCGCGAGGATGTGGAAGCGCATCCGGTCGTGGCTGAGGGTGAGGTCAAGCCGTGGGAGGAGTTCACTCCGGAGGAGAAGGCGTTATCCTGTCGCGCGATGGAGGTGTTTGCTGCGATGGTCGAGTGTATCGATGCCAATGTCGGGAAGGTGGTGGATTACTTGGAGTCCATCGGCGAGCTCGACAACACCTTCGTCTGCTTTATGTCGGACAACGGCGCGGAGGGGGCCGCGTACGAGGCCTACCCGATGGTGCAGAGTGGCGTGATGCCGCATCTGCAGAAGTACTACGACAACTCGCTGGAGAATCTGGGGAATGACAACTCGTTCATCTGGTACGGTCCGCGGTGGGCGCAGGCCGCGACCGCTCCCTCAAGACTTTACAAAGCCTACACGACGGAAGGCGGCGTGCATGTGCCTTTCCTGGCACGGTTCCCGGCTTCGGTGCGCGCAGCGGCGGACCATGTCAAGAACGGTAGCATCACGGATCAATTCGCCACGGTCATGGATCTGGCCCCGTCGATCCTGGAGATGGCGGGCGTGACGCACCCGGCGCCGCTCTATCAGGGACGGGAGGTCGTACCAATGCGAGGGAAGTCGTTTTATCCCTGGGCGACGGGTGAGAGTTCCCGCATTCACGAGAAGGAATTCATCCAAGGCTGGGAAACGTGTGGCCGGGCGGCATTGCGGTTCGGGGATTGGAAGATCGTCTATATCCCCAAGCCGAAGGGGCCGGAGCGATGGCAGCTGTACAACCTGGTCGAGGACCCCGGCGAGATCCACGATCTGGCTGAGGAGCATCCTGATCGGTTGAAGCAGTTGCTGAAACTGTGGGATCAGTATGTCATAGAAACCGGCGTGATTCCCTTGAACCCTGACTTGGGCGAGTTCCTGGAAGCGACCGAGGCGCAGATGCCGGAGAATGCGTGGATGGAGTACGACTACTGGAAGCGGGGGGCCAGAGACGACCCGAAGAAGTTCATGAGGCAGCCTCCTCGGTTTCAGCGGGTGGTTAAGCAGTTCTGAGGGAGCACCTCGGTGTGGCTATGAGCCGTATACACATATCTAAGTGCGGTTTTTATCCTTCCATGCATGCATTAAAGAATAGCTCCAGTGTAAATCAACCCAATGTCTTACCATCAAATCGTCTCCCTCAAACAGCCAGAACCCCTCCCCTTAGAATGATACGGCCGCGCTACGCAATCAGGGAATGATTCAATAAGAGGGGCCGACGCCTCCAGCAGTAGTTGCCTCCTCCAGGCCCCCGGCCTCTCAGCGGCAACCTCAACCCCCACCACTGTACCCTCCTTATGAACCCGACGTAGCCCACCCCTCTCCCTCAAAGCCACCGGCCCCCGAACCTTAGGAAGCTGACAAGCCCCCAACTCCCCCTTCTCACGCCGCACACGCAACCGCTCCCTCGCCAGCCGAACTCCCTCCAGCGCGCGCAGAAACTCCCATTCCTTCAGCCTCTTGCTAGTACTATACTGAAACCCAGAGATCCGATCCTCCTCAAACGCCCTCCCATTCAGATACACATAGTGATACAACTCACTCCGCTGCATGCGATCCTCCCCGCGGATCTCGGCGTGCGATCGTTGCCGGCGCAGCAGCATCTCCGTAAGATTCCGGACGTACAGAGGGAAGACGTTCGGCGAGGTGCGGAAGAACAGCCGGCCTGAGTTGCTGTCGGGTAGTGATAATGCTCGGCGGAGGGTATCCCGCGCGTGATGGAAGCTTATCGGCCGATCTGCAGTCGACCCAGAACCAGCACCAGCACCAGCCCCCACCGCCGCAGTATCCATCTGAAGATCAGATACGGCCGGATGCAACCTCCCCGCCGTATATCCAAAGAACAGATCGTTCTTCCCACCCTCCCCCGGACGGTAGATCACAACCCTCATCCCCCGCAGCCCCGTCACCCGATCCAGCTCCAACAGCCCCCCATCCCAGTAAGTATCCTTCCCGCTGGCGGACGGGAACGCCAGCGCCATTGCGACCGACACGGAGCGGAGGTGCGGGCAGGCGAGGCTGACGAATGCGAACGTCTCGTGCCACTCCGCGGCGTGCGTTTCCATGCCTTGTGACTGCGGGAGGAAGAAGGATAGATGGCGGATTGTCTGGATCTGGGGGCGGGTGAGGCCGCTGGTGAAGTTGGCGAATGCCTCGGGTTCTTCGGTGTGGAAGAGCGGGGCGCTGTAGGCGAGGTGCTGGGTTTCGTGGTGGAGTTGGCGGTTGGTGAGGAGGAGGGCGTAGCTGGGTTGGTTGTGGGGTTTGTTGGGGGTTGTTGGGGATGGGTTGTCGGGGGAGGGTAGGGGGGTTTTGGTTTTGTTGGGTGGGTTGGTGGTGAGGGAGGGGATGGGTTCGCGTTGGATGGTGATGGGTTGGGTGGTGAAGAGGTAAGTGTAGATTATTTGGCGGAGTTCGAGGGGGAGGGTTAGGAGGGTCGGTTTGGGGCTGTTGGGGTTAGACGGGTTTCCGAGGGGTGAGAGAGGGGATGGGTTCTCAGGCAATGAGAGTGGGGATGGGTTGGGGTGTTGAGGGCTTACCGGGGGGAGTCCATGGTTAGGGCTGGGGAGATGCAGTTGAAGCTGTTGTGGTAGCTGTAGATCTTCGGTCGAGGGATAAACACAGAAGAAAGATCATTTCGCAATCGCGGCCGTTGGAGGCTGGTTGCTGCTTATTCTGCGCTAATTACGCTAAAGTTCTTAGACTATAACTAATGCTTATCTATCACTGTAAGCCATCTTCTTCGATCCAGTCTGTCTAGAAGAGATAAATGGGTATAATTTGTGGACTTGTTGAGGGTTAGCTTTCTCTAGCTTACCGACTATCGCCTGAGATGCAGTAGTATGTCTACTGCCAGAACCTGAACGTACAGTACTTGCGTGGGTGCTAGGGTATATAAGTAGATCTTGACTACTGAAAACTGTCAGACAGAAATAGCTGACTCGTTGAAGGTCCTGATATATCATTGTTTGAGAGATGATTGACTACAACCCAGGAGATGGAGAGCATGAAGCTGAGGATGAGATTTACATGTAGAACTAGAACGCTTGACCTTCCAAAGAGGAAGGCGGAACGCTTCGACATTCCTCACTACAACATCATAATACATAAACAAGCAGAGCCAATGTAGAGTACAATTGAGTGAAGAACTGAAGTCAACACATATCCAAGTACCGGCAGATTTGAGGTCACTGAGTCAGGCATCCACTTTCAACTTCAACTGAACCGGCAACATTTGTGTAAGTGAAGTAGATGATCGACATTCTACCTAGTAAGGTACTAGGTACTACCAGCCCGAAACGGCTAGATCGAATTACGGACACATTTTACTCCACTCTGATGCCGGCAACCCGATCGGATTTATGTGTATTTACATGTACCGTACATATGGAGACCCAAGTGTATATATACATTGTAAGTTTGTAACATGATCCAGGGTTCGCAATCAAAACAACACCCCGAATTTCGGCCTAGTGGTCTAATAGTCCTGGTCCAACTAAGACAACCCCCAATTAGTTCATTGAACTCCATGAAATAGCATCCTCTAATTGTTGTAAAAGACATCGAATGCTTCATTTCTGCCAGTTCAGACCGCTCTCAAGGATTTTTATTCCATTCAACACTTCTGACTTGCTTACCTTAAACCTCATACGACCCGCCCATCAACATGTCCGACTTAGCGCGGAACACCGGACTGTACGATTTGCCCCCTGAGACCTTCGAGTCAACCCTCACATACCTGGACCTCGAATCGATCAAGGCTCTCCGCTTAGTCGACCGGAAGCTGGCCGAGAAGTGCATCGGGCCCCGATTCCTAAGGTGCATCCAACAGCCTGTTCTCGATGTCTCACCGCAGAGTCTTCGCTCTTTGCATGCGTTGGCGCGCAATCCTACCCTCAGCAAGAAGATCCACTCGCTCACATTCCTTGCCACAACTATGGAACTTTCCGAGTTAGACAAGAATATCAAATCTGGAAAGTACGTGGCGCAGAAACTCAACGAGCTCGGAAACGTGGTTTCCAGGACCAAGGTCAGATTCACGCCGGAGGAACTGGAAAAAGCCAAATCTGATCTGCGCTGGCTCAATGAAAAGCAAGAAGCCAGAGACTAGGAGCCACCCAGCGAGATGATTGAGATCCTACAACTTGCGCTCAACCTGTTTGGAACCTTGGATGTCATCCGCTTCGATGGCGGGGTCCTCCGCGGCCGGACGGAGAGAAAGGCGCCCAATTCTAAAGACTGGCAGCCACTCTGGGCGCGAGCCGCGCAAATCCTCTCGTTGGTTTTGAAGGCAATGGTGCGGAGTAGGGTCTCGGTCAAGAGCCTGGATATCTTTCGTGATACAGATAAATGCTGCATTCCGATTGACAAGATCACCGATATTGCATCGAATTTGGGCCCAGCGCAGCTGGCGATACTCGGCAAGGATCTGATATCGCTCAAGCTCAGTATTTCTATGGCTCTTGAGGATTCTCTTCAAGATGAGGAGGAGGAGGACGAGGAAGAAGAGGATGAAGACGAGGATGAGGAGGAAGAGAAAGAAAAAGAAGAAGAAGGAGAGGATCCCCGGCCCGTGCTAGAGGATGGAACACCCGGAATAGCATCACTATTTCTCAAATCTGCACCAGCTCTTCGAGAGCTGGACTTAACATTCCGGCGTACTGCATATGGAGAGGAATTATTTCACTACTACGATAGGATCGTCGACAGTATCGCTCGAGAAACCCAATTGCCATTGTTGGAAAGATGTGCGTTATCCGGATTTGCGGTCAAAAGACAGTCCCTGCTGCTTTTTCTCCAAAAGTATTCCGGCCTCCGCTCGTTGACGCTGCATGAGTGTCACCTAACCACGGGGTCATGGGCCCCGATCTTTGCTCATTTGGAGCGATCGATGCCAAGTCTCGAGAATCTCAGCCTCGAGAATCTGTTTGGGAGACATACACAGAACAGGAAGTATGCACAACCAAGGCGGCATGCTCCAGATCTTGGCCCCAATCCACAGGCAGCGGATGACGAGCAGGAGGGCAAGGGGCTGGTGGTCCTGCTGCCAATCTGGGATACAAATCCGCCACCGCGTTGGACACGCTACTCGCATTCGAACGGGTTAGCTGTGCACACCAGGGACTTCACCCGCGAGGACTTGGCCAAAGGACTGGTTTTTCGGCCTCTTAGAAAAGGGCCTGGACGAGCTCTTGGTTCCCTTGAGCTTATGCGCTGGCATAGATTTAGGACTCAACTTTACGCGCGTCCTGTAGGTTAATGGCATGTACCTTTTGAGACATTCAGTCAGAACAAGTGGTTTACAGCCATTCAGCCAGGCGACTTACCTCTGTACAGTGTTGAGATGGTTCTACGAGGTCCTGGCCATCCCCGTCAGGCAAGCCACAACACAGCCCATGATTGTGCTTGCCCTCTCCCAATAGGGTGGTCGGATCGTATTCAAAGAGGTTCCCCCTTTAGTGGTAACTTCTTTGCATAAAGTAAACTATTGGTTTAATTTTCTTGTAGGTCGTCGGACAAGGTCTTGTACAATAGGCTGTGGCTGGTATATAGATCATTTCTTGTCAACATCCAGATAGAAAAATCAGATTGAGGTTACAATATGGGTTGAAGAGTGGCAGTAAAGACCCTGCTTCTGATCTAAACACCCTTACAGATCTGCCACTGAATTAGGCATCCACTGCACTTCCAACAGGCAACAATCTGTAAGAGTGGCTACTTACCTAGTATGAGGTATCACTAGCCCCAAGGAGGCTAGCTTTCATCGGAGACAGCCCTTGCCCCACCCGGCCCTTAAGCCCAGCAGAGGTAATGAGTATACCAGACCCTGGCCGAAGTTTTCTCTGTCTGGATGCATTTCTCTGTACCTCGATACTCAATCTCAGAATCCAGACAGAGACTGTTGATCTAACAGATAGATCTGTCCCACATTTAAAAATTTCCGTGGGTTATATGTGCTGGCAAAAATCACAGTGTGCCGAGACTTTTAGTACACAATGTGTATTGATGGATCCACTGACATACCCGAGCACTTCGTGCCCTCGATCCAGGGTTCACTGGATCAATAAACTCCCCAATTCAGGCTTAGTGTTGTCATAGGCCTGGTCCAACTGAGACAGTTCCCCGTCCGTCACTGGACTAACTTCCACTGAGGGAAAAAGTACAATCATGGACTGCACCCTCGAGAACCAGTCCAGCAGTTTGATTCTGCCAACACCGACCGCTTCACTCATAGAAAGTGTCTTGTCTGTCTACCGGGTGTTGTTGACCGGCCCACTTCCATCAGAACCAACAACCTCAGCCGGCTTCATCAGGATGTCCAGCCCCGAGCCCGAGGACAGAAGACTGCAGGATCTGTCGCCCGAAATCTTCCAACAGATTCTCACCGACCTGGATCCGGAGTCGACCAAGGCCCTCCGCCTAACCACGCGCACGCTCGCCGAGAAGTGCCTCGGGCCCCGAGCCCAGCTCATCCAACCCGTGCTCGATTGCTCGCCGCAGAATCTGCGCGCCCTGTATGCCCTGGCATGTGACCCCGTCCTCAGCCCGAAGGTGCATTCCCTGACCTTCCTGGCCACCTCCCTGGAATCTCGGGAATTGGAGAAGAGCATCGAAGCCGGATATTACGAGGAAGTAACCTTCAATGGCCCCATATGGTCGAGGGAAGAAGTCGACTATACCCCCGAGGGACTGGGCAAGGCTCAGGCGGAGCTGCGCTGGCTCAAGGAGCAGCAGGAAGCGCGGGCCGCCGAATCGCCGAGCGAGATGGTGGACCTCCTGCAGCGGGCCTTCCGGGGCTTTAGCGCGTTGCAGGCGATCCGTCTCGATGGCGGGATCGTCTGCGGACGTGGACGCGCTAAGAGAAAGCCCCCGGGCTACAAGCAATGGCAGCCGCTCTGGGAGAGAGCCTCGCGGGTGCTTTCCTGGGTGCTGACTGCGATGGTGGAGGGTGGAGTCTCGGTCAGGAATCTTGATGTGTATTACAACACCGACCGGTGTTGTATCCCGGCTGATGAAATTGCTGCTCTAGCGGCGGGGCTTAGCCAATCACAGCGGGAGGTATTGGGAAAGAACCTGCACTCGTTCCAGCTGAGCTTGTCGGGGGCATTAAACGACGCTGATGTTGAGAAAGCGGAGGAGGGAAAAGAAGAACGGGTGCAGGAGAAGGACGAATCATTTGAAATTCATTCCCTCTTCCAATCAGCCCCGGCTCTGCGAGAGTTGAGTCTAAGATTTCGGCGAACCGGCCGGTTAGAGACTCTCCACTGCTACGACTACATAATCGACAGCATCGCCAAGAAAACCCAGTTCCCTATGCTCGAGAAATGTATATTTGCTGGTCTTGCGGTTAAGGAGGAGTCACTGCTGCTTTTTCTTCAGAGACATCCCAACCTCCGCTCCCTATCATTACACGAGTGTCATCTGACCTCGGGGTCCTGGACCCCGATCTTTACTCATTTACAGTCAATGCCCAGGCTTGAGACCCTCAGCCTCTCAAATCTTTTTGGCAAGCACATGCAGAACCGGAAGTATGAACAACGAGGGTATGGTTCTTCTTCTTCTTCTTCTTCTTCTTCTTCTTCTTCTCCTTCTTCGGGTTCCTCGGCCTCCGAATTAGAGATAGAGAAAGATGAAGAGCTGGAGGAGAGTGACGGGATGGTAGTTCTGCTGCCAGCCTGGAACGTCCCTTCCAAAGACTGTTGGGCCGGCTGGTTAAACGAGTACCCCCATTCCAATGGGAGAGCAGTGCACACCAGGGACTTCACTCGCGAGGAACTGGCCAAGGGACTGGTGTTCCGGCCGCTGAGAAAGGGGCCAGGACGGGCGATCGGCTCTATCCAGGGTATGAACTGGAGGAACCGTCGGCGAGAGCTTTATGCGCCTCTTGTATAGGTCAGTGATGTGTGGTGCTTGCAAGTCAGTGTGTGAAGGCGGTCCTGTCATTGAAGCATGTAGGCTCACTAGTGAAAGCGCAATTCGACTGCGAGGTGTTGGAGCCCTACAGAGACCGTGCCACTGAGCAAATAATAAATGCTCATACTTCGAGTCATCGAAGGATATACAGTACGCCCTTTACTCTACTCGGCATTTACTCTCGGTCAAAAGCCAGGGCTAATGCCAAGAGCTCGTACCCACTCTACCCATCATAAAGTATATGATACGGAGTACTGTTCAAGTCTTTTACACCGTGCGTATCTAGGTCCGCGACCTTACGGCGAAGTCATACTGACTATTACAATAGTCAATAGGACGAGGTTGGTCAGTTACTGACTCACCAGCGATTATGGTATCTAACTGAGCAATTGGGTCTTGGTCCGAGCAAAGTCGCTTGAACATGACTGTGGAGCCTCTAGTACCGCTAGTGCCTGTCTCGCCCCACAGGCTAGTACTAGAGGACCCATCAACTTGAAAGGGTCCTCCACCTGCGCCATAAGCGACATCACCGGTTTGAAGACAAATACATTAGTCCTTATGAGGCGCTGATGCATTTGTCGTCAAACGGTCGAGACTCAAGGTCGGGAATATTTCTGCTGTGCTTGAAAACATTGATCAAGATGTTTTGAAGTGATCTTTCCTGGGGCCACCCTCCTTCAGCCCGTGAGCGCTCGCTGCGAAGCTTACAACCGACGTCCCCACAGAAGTGCGCAGTATACACTGCCCTGCGGCTGATGATGTGCAGAACAGTGCAGCCCTCGACGTCTTGCACGTCAGTGTTATACTTCCTCCCTGGTTGATGCTGTGCTGTTAAGCTCATTCTAGACATCCTTTGCCAAGCACCGCTCCAGAATCATCACTTAGCGCCTTCATGACCGTCTTCATCAATGTCAATACCTCGGGACTGGAGAAGATCGAGAATAGCCTGCCGGAGCTCAGAAGACGGTAAGCTTCCAGCTATCTGCAACGGGCTTCGAGCACTGTATTCGGGGTGCGCTGTTTTTCCGGTCGGATCGGCGCCTGCGTCTAGTGACAATTTGACGATGTTCGGCTTCCCGGAGTAGATGGCAAGATGCAGCGGAGTCCCCCAATCGATTGAAGGAGCATCTGGATCCAGGCCCTTTTCGAGTAGAAGCCTCGTCATGAACTCTCCCTGAGGCACGCGCGGAGCCGCGGCGTTATAGAGAAGGCCTGGATACAGCTTCGCCTCGTGCGCAAGCAACATCTCGATCCGCGATGCATCTGGTTCGCGCTCACTGTCAACGACGCGCGTAAGGGGTGTCACCCCTCTCCGGTCGGCGCGGTTGGGGTCGGCACCTCGCAAGAGCAACTCGCGAGCACATGCTGGATTTCTTCTATGGCTGTCCCACCATTTCTTTTTGTCAGTGCGCCCGCTTTATCTAGATCTTTGTCGATTCTCTGGGGCACAAGGAAGCTGGTCAAGCGACGTACACCTGGATAGGAATGCCGTTGCTGTAGCTGGCGTTGGGGTCGAGGCCGTGATCGAGAAATTGGCGGATAATCCTCGGGTCTTGTTGGATATTGGGATTTCCGGGAAGGCAATTGATTGCCATTTTTGACACACGAGCGCCGGCAGCAAAGAGCGCGTCCACGATATCCGCGTGCGCCCTGTGGGTGGCAATCTCAAGCGCTTCGCTGAGGTCCGCAATCTTCAAGCGTCGCCGACAGCCGAGGGTTTCCTGGACTTTCGGTAAATCACCCGCACGGCAGGCCGAGTGGAAAGCCTTGACATAAGTATCATAGTCGGGGATCATGATGCATGAAAGTTGAGATTATATGGCCTGCAAATTTGTGATGGCAATGGAGAGAGGAGAGCGGTTGGTAGTGACTAGTAGTTAAGTTGTTTGAAGGTGGTAAGTTAATTTCAGACATATTTTATAGCAAATCACTGTTTTTGTCTAGTAAGTTGGTTTAACTCGGAGCCTCGGGCCGGAAGCAGAGCAGGACCGGAAGAATCTCGGACATGGGCTTCTTAGCAATTAGTGACTTACCCACTATCTTACTCTTGGAGTGCTGACTTCAAAACCTCCCTCCACACTCTTGATCTGGTTGAATCATCGCCAAGGGCTTTCCTATTCTTCAGGTACGGCATTGTACAGTTCTAATAAGTCCATCCGAACCGCCTGCCAAGAAGACTGTTGTTCTCCCTGAGTCTCCCAGGGCCCATGAAAACTGAGCGCAGGAAACATGGACGCCACCTTGAACCCTATGGTGGCTTCTCACCTCTAGGCGTTGCTCTTCAGCTGCAATAGTAGCACCTGTGATGCGGACAAGGCGTTCTTTTATTTCTTCTCCCTCCGGACTCGTTCGCTGAATATGAGCAGCGTCGTCTGCGGTGCGGAGAATATCCTCGCCGGTGAAATCGGCCCACACTGGTAGATCTGAAGGTCTTCCTCTAAATTTAGGATACTTTCCGTGGAAGCCGTGGCAGATCTGAATACAGTGGTGCAGTGGTGCAGTAGGTGCTCGCTCAGGCTGAGGACTCGAACTTGTGGATCAGCCCTGCTCATCTCCATGGTTTGGCTGTCGGAGCCTGCGGCCTCGAGTCGCTTTACTATACCAACCAGATCAACCTTACCAATGGCGTGATGCCATCTATATCCCTTCAGAAAGCATGCTACTGCAACGGTGTGCCAAGCGCAGATGGCGGCTCGATGTGGTGTGGAATGTGGAGTCCAGCCTTGAACCCCTCAATTCCTCAACTCGCCTGTGCGACTTCGTGCTCAACCATCACAAGCTGTGACGCGCAGGACGCGCTCCGACCACCATGATCACGACCGTAACCCCCTTCGCCCCAAATGCGACGGGGTGTTTATCCGCGGTTCAAGGGCAGCAGATTGCGGTCGCTTCATACATCAATCCACTAAGTGACCCGGCTGCCTGGGATCGGCTGATCGATTATGATGTGAGCAAAATGCCTATCTTGGTAGCCAACGTCTTGAACGGCCCGGATTCAACCGTCGACTCGAGCTGGCAGGGTGTGATCCAGCGAGCTTCATCTGCGGGCAAAACAGTTCTCGGCTATGTGCGCACCGGATACCTGGGCGTGAGTGACCAGATCTTCCAGACGCGGCTGGGCTCGGGCAATCTGGCAGATTGGACCGCTCAGATTGAGGAAGACGTTGATAGGTGGTACAAGCTGTATGGCGACAGCATTGGCGGCATCTTCTTCGATGAGGGCTGGCCCGAATGCGGCGTCAACAATGAATACGTGGACTTGTACAAGTATATCAACGCCTACACAAAGCGTGCTCACCCCGGCGCGTACACTGTCTTGAACCCTGGGTCGCCGATGGCGTCTTGCTTCGAAGATACCATGGACACCCTCCTTACCTTCGAGCAGAGCTACGACTCTTACATTAACAGCTACACTCCTAACGACTGGACTCCCAACGATCCACGGAAGCTATGGCACACTGTGTACAACGTGTCCGAGTCTTCGGTTAGTGAAGTCGTCAAACTAGCCAAAGAGCGCGGGGCGGGCTTCTTGCATCTCACCGACGACAGGTTGCCCAATCCATACGATACTCTACCCGCAGACTCGTACATCCAATGTATGATGGATGGAGTTGACGGCGGCTCGCTGTCAAACGCGGATGCAGCCGCTTGGGAACTGGACGGCGCTGCGGGAGCGGTGACTGATTTGACGGTGGTGGCCTCAGACTACAGTTGGGCGAAGTTGTCTTGGGCCGCGGCCTCGAACGTTCAGGGCTATCATGTGTATGCCGATGGTAGACTTGTTGTCAGTGTTCCCAGCTCGATGACCGAAGTGACTATCGGCAGCCTCGCATCCGGAACCAGCTACACGATCTATGTCAGTGCCGTAGGAGGCGGCGGCAGACTGGGTTCGTCTTCGAACCAGGTCACCGTGGCGACCAAACAATTACCAGGTGGAAAGACGGTAACAAATTACAAGTCCTCTCCCCAGGAGAACTCGACCGTCATTGAGGCTGATGTCCTGGTGCCTTACTCCTCCGTCCGCCTCTACATCTGGGATTCGATCGAATGCGACTTCGACGAAGATCCAGGATGGGGCGTTAACTTCAACGTGGATGACTACGTTTGTACCCACTATATGGTCGATGGTTCGACTCTCTACCGCTACGACGGGGTCCTGCCGAAGGGCTCCACCGCGTCCCCGTGGTCGTGGGAGGCGATCGACACCGTCAATCTTAACATCTGGGGCTACACTTATACGTGGACGCTGCCCCTGGGCGCATCGACGGTTGACACGACCAAGTTTGTGGTGCAGGCGCAGGGCTACAACCCCATGATCAACGTCTTCGAGCCAGACCCGTCCGACTATGACTGCGAGGGCTCGTCCATGTGTACCACTCCGGATCTGTTGAAGTGGTGCGATCACGCAGTGAGCTATCTGTTTAGAGACGACGATCTGAACTATCATTCGACTGAGGTTATTGAGTAAGTCATCCAATACAATTATAGCCATTTTGACGCACGTCCTGACCTTATATTTTCCAACTATAGAGATAGCCTCTACAGCACCCAAAGCGGCGACTGCTGGGGCGATCTGACCCAGGGCTGCGGTGTCTTCATCCAAGGCCAAAACTGCAGTATCAGCGGGAACGACATGTGGAATGACTACCAGAATATCCGCACCATCGGCGGCTGTAAGAAGTGCGGCTCGTACCAACGGAAAGATGGGTGTAGGGTGACAATTGATTATGTGTATCAATGCGATAATCATCAAGATCTACCCTGACCATGCAGGGAGTGAACGGGGAAGAAATCAGGGAGTGAACGGGGAAGAAATAGAATCCATACAATGCAATTTATGCTCCATGACATGCCTAACGTATCCGAACCACATGTCTACCCTACTGTAAGTATTTAGCTTCAAGTCCGATCAAATGGAACGTATGGTGGGGACAAGCCCCAGCTCAGCGAGCTACTTCACTTGCACGATTTCAGATTCCACAGTTGGAGCAGACGCAGTGAGTGTTCTATGGTAAATGAGTTCCAACTATTATCCCCTTGGCTAATCACAAATTACCAAGTACGTACCCAAAACAACGCAACAAGCCAACTTCCTAGACCAATCGCTCAAAGTCTCATCTCATCCAGACAACACCCTATGGCCCCCGGCGACGCTTTCCTCGACGCCTTCCACGACGCCTGTTTCGAGGGCAACCTCCCACAGACCCAAGCCGCCCTCGCAAGCGGGCGCCTCAACCCCCCGGACCTCGACGAGGCCCTGAACCTCGCCTCCGGCGAAGCGCATGCAGACATCGTAAGCGCCCTCTTCGCCGCCGGTGCACGCATCACGCCCGATTCCGCGAGCTTCCTCACCGGAAAATCCGGCCATCAGCACCCGACCATCGTCCGGTGCTAGCTCGACCACGGCCTAGAACCCAATAGTGATGTCTCCAACGGCGAGCCTCTGCTGCGGTACGTCCACCACCTTGCCTCAGCTCCCTCTTGCCCGTACCCCTCAAACCCGCAACTAACTAAGCACCTGGGGATCAAGCTTCCTAAAAGACCCCGCCTGCGTACGCGAATTACTCTCGCGAGGCGCGGACCCCAATCGCTGCGGCCCGCGGGGCGTAACGCCCCTCGCCGGCGCGCTGGAGTATGTCTCCGAAGACGACACATCTCTCTTCGAGCTCCTCCTCGAATACGGGGCGAAGCTGGAGGCGAGTCTCTTCGTTGAGGCCATGCGTCCGCGTGGGGAAGGCGTATTCAAGACTCGGTTCCTTCTGGGTAAGGGACTTGATCCCAATATTACCTCCGCGGAATGGGGCACGCCGTTGCATCGGGCTGTCTATCTCGCAAAGGGGAGAGTTGTGGAATTACTGCTAGAGGCTGGCGCTGATCCCACGGCCCGGGTGGAGTGCAGGCAGTTTGGGGACCGGAGTCCCGTGGGAGTTGCGGAGGCGAGAGGGCAGAGGGACCCGGCACTGCAGGTTCCGCTTCAGAACATTATCGAGCTCCTCCGGTCTCACCCGCGGTGAAGATGGGTTGGTCTGGTCTATGTGATAGTCCCAGGCCTTGTATCATGATAACCAAGTAGCCTCACCTAGACTTTTTGAATGAATGCCAGCAAGTCAATTGAGTAGAGGGACGGTCTAGGGGTGGTCTCGATCGCGAATTCAAGTATTATACAGGGCTGTGCTGGGTCATTGAAATGCCAGTTCAGCTATAGCTTAGGGCAGCCTTACCAAGTAAGTTATAAAGCCTTATTCAAATCTTCTTAGTTTGTGGCTGTTCAGTTGATCTTCGCCTCAGATGTCCGTCAAGTCTCCACAGATCTAAGCGACCCTGGCTGTCGTCTTCATTTCCATTGTTTCATCAGACAGTCATCCGAGCGGTTGCTGAAGCTTCTGGTTGGAACCAGCAACTCACCTCCGACCCTCGGGATTTTATATTGGTTGATTCGACATATGACTAAAACTCTGCAATAGCTTGAATTTACGTCCGAACTTGGTAATGGGTCTGTGGCGTAGTGGAGCGGTCTCTCGCCTTGTACTTTTGAGCCTCGGGAAAACAAATTGACTGAAAACGCCCAGTGAGTATGATAATTGAAGATATGAATTGCAGTGAACTGTAAATTGAAGTATTTATATATACACCTGAAATCCGACTGCTCTCTGGAGTAAATCGATAACATCTGTCAATGTCAGGTGAATGATACATCCAACCCTAAACAAAGACGCTATTGTGGATCCCTGCTATAATCAAATCCCGCTATAATCAATTCCTCGCTCTTATGAATATACTATACTCAGTTTTTGCGCCCTTCTACAAATGGAGATCTTGGCACTGCCAATCTCCACATCCGACATTCTCTAGTGTACTTCGGAGTGTTCGGAGAATGTCCGTCCATCTGGGTAAGCGAGACATGTGCAGAGTAGCCTGTTTACATCCATGGGACATACTAGCACTTACGGAGATTAGTTACCACTAATGAGGAAAAGGTGGTTTCCCGCTTCTACCACCGCCTGCCTCTCCTCTCCACGCACGAATTCTCCCCTATTACACATCCTCACCAAACCGCACCATGTCACATGACACCATGCAGAACGCCTTGAATGTCAAATTTGAGCGAGCATGCACCAAGGGTGACCTGCAAGAAGTCCAGCGGGCCCTTGCCAGCGGGCAGCTCTCTGCCGATCAACTTGACACTGGGCTGCAACTCGCTACCCTTCACGCTCATCCACACATCGTGGCCGCACTCTTCGATGCCGGCGTGCCCATGACACCTGGCGCGGTAGGGTCACTCTGCGGGAAGGACGGAGGCCAGCAGGATCCGCGGGTCATTCGACTCTTCTTCGATCGTGGCCTGAACCCTCGGAAATGCACCACATCCAGAGGCGAGCCTCTGCTACGGTATGCCTGGTATCACATGGGGCTTGCTGCAAGATTGTCCGACTGATGCACTGCGTGCTATAGCTTTTTCGGTTCCGACTGCGCGCGCGAATTCCTCGAGCGAGGCGTGGATCCCAACCGCTGCGGGCCGAGGAAAGTCAGCCCCCTGGTGAGCGCTCTCGGTAAAGTCCGCAAGGACGGCGGCGCCGTGTTTGATCTGCTTGTGGAGTATGGCGCGACGGTGGACGCCGGGCTCTTCTTCAATGTGCTGGTTTGGGGCACGGATTCGGCGATCAAGACGCGATTCCTGCTGTCCAGGGGTCTCGATCCGAATGCCACGACCTCCGCGGAAATGGGGCACGCCTTTACATGCGGCGGTCCTCTTCGGGCTCGAGCAGGCCATCAAGATTCTGCTGGCTGCGGGCGCGGATCCGACGGCTCGATCGGAATGCGCGAGTTTCGGGGATCGAAGCCCCACGGAGCTTGCCGATTCGCGGTTACAGAGATGTTCGGAGAGTTCTGGCATGAGAAGCATATGTCAGCGGATACTCAAGCTCCTTACCGATGCACAAGGCGGTCATCCTCCTTCAGCGACGGAACGGGCGATCCACAAGCAGCACACTACCGTCACCAAAAGGTCGCAGATTTCTGAAGATGCCGAAGCGGGTTTGATGGCTTACAGAGCACGGGTGGTGAGAGCCCCGGCTAGAAAAACCAAAAAATGCCCCGAAGAAAGATCAGAAAGACCCCTCGAATGATGGTAGTGTTAGCAGCCGAACACGGAGTCGAGCCAAGGCAACTTCCTGATTAGAACATGAGCTTGTTCAGTCTCGTGAGCAATGAACGATACCACCGCTCTGTATGATTCGAACTTATTGTCTCAGAAGTAGATAGGGCTGATCGAGGCCCCCCCCCCAGGACTTGACCCTACTTGAAGTCCCGTGGAGGGGAAAAATGGTCGACGTACGGAGCCGTGTATCAAAAGTTGTCAAACTGCTGTAATTACCCTAGCGGAAATCAGGGTACTTACTTGGTAATATGATCCTGAATACATAATAAGTCTACTATTTGAGTATAGTCTTGCAAAACTGATACCTGATTGAGTGAAACTCTTTTCCTCTCCAACTAGATATAATCTGGTGGTGGCTACTATATCAGGACTTATAGACTATTTCTCTCTAAGGGATTTCTACTATATCCGGCCTTTAGACTTACTACTTTAGATTATAGATATATCACATTCGTAGTTATGACACCTGGCATGCACTGGTACAGTACAATTCGGGTAGTTTTAAAACTTCTGATACACGGCTCCGTAGACTAACTACCTTTATCCAGTTCCGCAAGCAAAGGGAGTGGAGAACCAGACCACGGAGCTCGGAGATTGACTTTGCTGCTCTGAGGCTTACAAGCGAAATTGAATCTTAGCGAGCTATGAGGAATGATGAGCTTGTCTCACATTTTGTGTGGTCAGGTCCCAACCAGTATGGCCTTGCTACACTACAAGCACTAAGAAAGTCTAGCAGTAAATAAAAGTGGGCCTGGGAAGATTGTTCGGCCTGTCGGCCAACGTTCCCACCTCATGGGGTCTTACTGGATATCGACTAAAGATACCTACTACGTGTAGTCAAGTCTACATGTAGAAGTCGGCTGATGCTACTAACCCTAGTAAGAGGACGACTAATACCAATCGAGGTCCTGATGTTCTTGGCTCGCCGTACAGGGTCCCAGAGATTTCAGGGACCGGATTCGCCTTTTCCTGATCTCGTGCAGACTCGACCCCACCGAACTCAGGAATCGTCCAATTGTTCCACAGCAACCAGGAGATGTTAGGTTTTCTGCCTTACACCTTCCCGGTGACTCCGAAGTGGTGGCATACCAATCAGATTGATGAGAATCTTTCGTGTCCAGCAGAAAACTTTCCATTGTATGTGAGATTGGAGTGAAATTTCCATAATATTACTAATTTTTATCGAAGCCGATTTACTTTTTGTCTTTTTTTTTTGCTTTATAATTTTGTGGGGGATCATGGCAGTCTGGCACCTGTGCAATGACAGGCATGCTTCCTTGGGTGTATGTACTGTACATCGGTCCACCGGGAAGACCCTTGGCTCGGGTGACGGGGACAAAAGACACCGAACCTTGGGTTGGTATACTGGAACGTCAAGCGACTGTTGTGGACTGTTATGATTTAGACTTGAGACTCAATGACAAGAGAAGCTAATCAGGGGTTAACTTGATGTCTTCGAGCTAAGCTGGGATTTATCCCAAGTTGATCCTCCCTATGTCAGATCGCAGTACCCTTCAGGTCAATGTGGCTGTTAGACACCATTGAAACAATTCAATATCAATGTTGCCGAGGATAGTACGGGGGGACTATCCCGGTTTGGTAAGGCCGCTCTGAGCCCTTTCCTAGTGCTTCTATAGTAGCACAAACGGCCTCATGGTCTCTACGTAAGCCCGTAGGCATTGCGCAGTTTGGTCAGTCTTATAGCTTTGTCTAGATACAAGATCAGTTGTGGCACCAGTTCCCTCATCTTCATATCTGGTACTGTGAGATCACTTGGCGCTTCGCAGATGCAGATGATAGAAGGGCGATGATAAATCTAATCGAGCTGCGGAGATCACAATGGTACTAGATGGCTTGACTCCAAGTTGTTGAGTTGGGTGACACTGGCTAGTTCTGCCAGAGATAGTGTATGCAAGAGAACTGCAAGTCTATGCGTTGTCCGTCATTCTTTGAGTGTGGGATGCGGAATGTATCTGCATCCTGTCAGTCGTTTCTACGACGACAACCTCGTGTAGACAACGGAAAGATACAATGTTTTCGGTGGAATAAGAGCTGAATCACTCGCCGTCGACCAAGATGGTGTCTACAAGACACACCAGACGATAGAAAAGATCAAATGCGTTTGACTAACAGCTAAAGCCATATATCAAGCAGAAAGTATATTTTGGTACAGCAGCAGCAAAGGAAAGTAAAGCAATCATCTTCAACAGCTCAACCCTGACCAATCACATTCCTCTTCACATTGACCCCAGACATGACCATCCTCCATCCATCCTTCTTCGGCGTCTGCACCGTCAACTTGAGATTCTCCCGCGGGAACAGCGTCACATAGTTATCAGACCAATAGACCGGCGTGATTTCCCCGGCCGCATCCTCTTGCTGGCTCGCCGCATCGACGACCGTCAGATGCATGAAGAAAGCCGGGACATCGGCCTTGTTCTCCAGCGTCACTTCCAGGGTCGACCCATTCTCTCCCTTCTCCTTGACGGTCACGCTCGCCAACACATTCGCCGTCCGCAGAGTGCTCAACCCGGTGAAATCCGCGTACCGCGAGACCGGCGTGGTGTACCAGTTCGATTTGCCCCAGTCCAGCACGTCGTTCTCCTTGGTCACCCAATACACATTGCGACTGAGCACTGACCCATTGAGGGCATCCTTGAGCAACAACCTCAAGAACCCAACTCCCTGGAGACGACCCACCCCGTCCGCCACTTTGGCAACGGGAACCGATGCCCCCGGCTCGGTCTCCTCCACCCCCACTACCTGCTTGTCCACTGTCTTCCCATCGGCAGCGCTAATCAGCTCCACCTCCACCACCCTCTTCCCCTTCTTACCCCCTCCAGTCAACCGGGGCCCATTCAGATTGACCACACGCACCTCCCTGCTCACATAGTCATAGGCAACATGCTCCCCCCGCGCCGCCGCCGTCTTCGTTCCAAAGTACGCTCCCCCTGGACGGAGATAATAATCGAACAACTGCCAATGTAAACTCGGCCACGCGCTGTTCAGCATCCAATACACCAGTCCCGTTGCGGGACGCGCGTAAGTGCTGCTAGCAGCGTTCTGATTGATTGCGAACCCCTCGAATACAGCCCGTGTAGCTTCGTAGTCCATCAGCTGGGTCTTCTGGAGGTAGTCCTCCAACGAGGTGGGATCCCCATATCGACGGAAGAGCGCGGTGTTGTAGATCTTGCGGGTGTGGAATTCTCCGGCACCCCGCGGGGAGAGATGATACGACCCCGAGGACGGGTGGCTCCAGAGGGCGTGGAGGTCCGCAGGGGAGAGGAACTGGGTCAGAGAGGGTAGAGTTGGTGTTCCGACGCCGGGCCCTTGTTCGGACCCGAAGCCGTAGGCAGTCCCGGACTCGGTTATACCGGGCGTGTTGTTGGAGGTCCAGTAGTTGGGAGGTACCCAGTCGTAGGGGCCGAGCATCTTCATCCCCGAGGGTCCCAGGCCAGACGGGTTGCCGCGGGCGGAGGCCGAGGCGACGATGGGGTTGGTCCAGTTTGTGAGTTGGAGTGCGGCAAGGTATTGCCTAGTGGCGGATTCGTCGGGCCAGTAGTCGGATCCGAGGATGAAGGCGAGGAGTGAGGGGTGCGCTTGCAGATAGGTGGATTCGTGGTACATCTGCCGATAGGCGGTTGTGTAGTCTGTTGTGGTCCATTGGTGGCCTTGGCCGTCGGGGTTGTACTAGAGGAAGTTCAGGGTCAGTAGAGTGATGGCTTGTGAGGATGAATGGATGTGTTTGCTTGGAGATGAGAAGCATCGAAAGGTGGTTTGGCATACATCCCATCCTTCCCATTTATCGCAACATTCCCATCCAGCTATGGTCATGATTCCCATTTGGTCTGCCAGTTTATAAAACTCCGGGTGCTCGAGCTTGCCTTCGAGCCGGATAGTATTGAGACCCATGTCGAGGACGTAGCGGAAGATGGTGCGGACGCGGCTCAAGTCGAAGCGGAGGAAGAGGTCGGGTGCGTAGCCCGCGCATCGCACATGGAAGGGATGACCGTTGATGCTGAACGAGAGGTCCTTTTCGGGGCTGAGCTGAGAGGTTACGTGCCTGATCCCAAAGGTTGTGCGCGGTGCCCGGTCCGAAATTGTCCCCTGAGGCGTGCTCACGTTGAGCTGAATAGCATAGAGTGGCTGACGGCCCCACACAGCAGGCCACCAAATCTGCGGGTTCTGAATAGTCACAGGGAATGAGATGGTTGTGTGCTCGTTGGCGTTGAGTCGGATATTGCCTGAGAACGGGATCCGCTGCTGCATGCCAACATCTTGCTCCGTCTCGATGATCCCTTGGAAGGATGCCTGGATGGGTACGTTGTTCTGGTTGGTGACATCCGTGATGACTGTCGCCAAGACTCGCTCACTAGGTGCGGTCTTGAAGTCGGTGACAATTCGAACCGGGGACAAAGAGATAGGACCTGTTTGCTTCAGCTCGATGTTGCGCCACACACCAGTGCCATTATCTGGCGGCGCTGGGTTCCAGTCTGCGAAGCCTTGGCCAAAGTCGATGGAATAGTCTGTTGGATGAGCTTGAACGAGAAGAGCGTTTTTCCCTGAGCGGACGTGCGGCGTTATATCATACTGGTGGCCGCCAAAGCATCCTTGTTGATAGTCGCTTGAAGCTACTTGTACACCGTTGAAGTATATATCAGCCTTGGAAGAAATGCCGTGAGTGATGAGGAAGAGATGGTCGCCCTTAGGTAGGGGCTGTAGGCCGAACTCTTCACGGTATAGCCACGGGGACTGAAAGTCGGATAGATCGACGCCGTTCATGTGGTCCGAGTAGAAGAGATCAGTCTCGTTGTAGACCCCGGCTTGAAGCAAGCCGGCCATGACGGTGCTGCGCGACCCGATACGGTGCCATGAGTCCGTCGTAGCATCAGGCTGTGAGAGCTTGCTGGCTTCTTCTCGGGCTTGGATCGAAGACTGAAGATACCAGCCAGGAATCGTAACCGAGTCACCGGGAGACAGACGGAATCCATATACGAGACAGAGAAGACTCAGGAGATAGAAGAAGATTAGAGAGTACATCGTGAAATTAGTCCA